TATTAATGCGATATGCGAGAGAAAAAAATATATAAAAAATATAAAAACGTGAAAAGTGGGTACGCTGGTAAATATACTCGACAGATCTATATAAGGATTCTATAATAATAATAATATACTTCGTTGTTCATTAAATACATATTCTAGAAACCTAAAAAGTTGATACTAGTTTTCATCATTGATAAAATTAGTTTTCTCTAGAAAACGTTATATTCTGAAACTATGATACATTTATACATTACATATAGGTACTGGTATCTACCTACACATAATAATCTAAATATTTTATACACAACGTATATTTATTTTTTTTTTTGTTTGATCATAACGTTATAAATTCAAGTAGGTACCAATTGGGTGTTTTTAGTTATAATTTCTCTATAGACTATACATTAATTATGCATGTAATATATGATATTTATAAAATTACAAATGTTGTAGTTAATCAATTATTCATAAACGATTTATAATATATTATTTTATAACTGTTGACGTATACCATGTGTGTATGTGAACGATATCAAACTCGACAGTTTAACAATATAGGTAGGTAGTCAATTGCATGTATAGTTTCAATATGTGCACAATTTTAGTAAATAAATCAACTGTTATTATTCCCTATACCTATTCCCAATTGGATTATTGCCTATAATCTAATAATTTAGTTTGCATAAAACTCAAACTATTTACGGGGTTAGGTAATACATTATATTAAATCTAAATAAAGTATTATTTAAGATATAAATAGGTTATATTGATCAGTTGAACAAACGTTTAACGAGTAAAAACAATGCGATTTATTTGATACTTGCCTTATATAATTGATTTATAAACAAATACGAAACTATTATTACCATAGTTGGCGTCACGGTTGCGCGCAGTAATTTTTAAATCTCATGAAAAAGTTTTATCAATAAGGCGATAAATTACACATTTAAAAAAAGGAATGTATTAGAGAGGGAATTTAATGTATACCTGCAAGCAACGATAAACCATTGCTTACGAAAAAACGATTCTGACGAGTTCAGTTGATAGTGATGCTTTGTCAACAATATATATGTCTTTTTATGGTAAAATATTTAAATGGGCTTTATATATTTTCTTTAATAATATTTGTTTAATGTTGTACCAATTTTTCCAATTTTCCTATGTTTTCCCGGTTTTCCCATGTTTTATCCCGGTTTTTATAATTTTTTGGGAAAACTCATGGGAAAATCGAAAAATTACCGTTTTCCTTTCAGAAAAGGTGATACACTTTAAAATCGGAGCAAGATTTCTGGTAGAAAAGTTGTCCAAAGAAAAAAAAAAAACATCTTTGTAAAACCATAAGCTTCTTCGCTCCACTCAGAATCTAAAATGTACACAGTAAAAAATTCTTGAGACTGGACATCTCTTATGAAACCTATAGCAGGGTATTCATTAGTGAATATCTACTGTACATCCACTTCTCCTTTCCTTTAAAAAAGCTTTACATATTATATAAGTATTTCTAACCTCTTAATTTGACTTAAAATGTGTTAATCTTGTAAGAATCGAATTAATAGTTTATGAGTTAAGTATGATAAGTTAAGCGATAGTATAAAATACAATAGTTGATACGATAATTTTGAAAAAAAAAAAAAACTAATATAGTTACTTGTTGTTCAGTGAAATAGTACTGTGATTGTACGCTTAAAGCAGTATTTCTTTTTTTATATAAACGTTCTTAGTGAAAATTTCGATGAAAACTGTAAAAATTACGGCATTTCGCGTACTATTTTCCAATTTATTGTGGATGACATTTGTTGACTCCATAGACATGCTCAACAAATTTAAACGAAAATACACAGATAATATTGAAATTTATTTTTTATAGTTATAATATAATTTTCAAAATAAGTTTATCAAAGCATTTTCAACCGAACGTGGCTTATAATTTCGTTTTCCATTAGCAATATTTTATCTTTGAGTACGAATATAAATAAAATTACCCTATAATATATTCTATACCGTTCCAATTTCCAATCTAAAATGGTGGAGTGCATGGTGCAAAACAGTTAATATTCGCGTGGTATGTATCACTGGGCAGTATATAGACACTTCTTTATTAATACTACTATAATATTGATTTAAATATTTTTTACTGCTGCTGTCTATAATTGTAGGCACTAAAACGCGTGGTTATCTGCAATTTATCGTGGTGATAGTTCAATAGCAATAATAATTATACATTACAGTTTACATGTGAAACGTGTAATATTTCTTAAACGCGTAAATACCTAACTGCCAGTAGGTAGTAAAATATTTGATATATATAAAAAAAAAAAAACTTAAATATTAGAATAGTTTCAGAATTTGTATTGTTTCACTGCTTTTAATTGGTCGTCAGAAAGACCGATTGACGGAAAATTGGTCTAAATCGCTAAGGTAAATTGCGTGTATGTGTAAGGCAAATATAGACAATTTAATTGTCTAGCCATCTTATCATTAATTTGGAATTGGATCGTAAACCAATTTTGTACTTATAATATCAGAGGCGGACTGGGGAGTGTTTGTGTCCCACTATTCTAGATAATAATTTGTCCAGTAAGTCCAGCATTTTTTTCAACCAATTTGATAAAAACAATTTTGATATTTTGTTAATATTTTTTATTTTGAAAAATTCCGGATAAGGAAGGAATCCGGGCCACTATAGAAGCTCCCTCTGAAATGATCTTGAGTTTAGTCAACGTTATCAAAATGCTGATATATTAACAAAATGTTTCCATTACCCAATAAAATTCACCTTTGTTTTTTTTTTTTTTTTGCTTTTAACAAATAAAATTTAAAACACGTAATGACATTATCTTATATTTTAAATTTAAATTTCCTGTCGGATGATGGTGTTACTGGATATGTTATACTGACATATCCTATCACGAGTTTGCTATTGTTTTAAAATTGTGTCGGTGTTGAGAGATATAATGTTATTATTTTGTTCTATTCAGTAGAATCTACTGTACATTTGTTCAAATGGTTAAAAAATAAAGTATACATAGTTTATGAATGAGCCATCGTGTTGGACCTATATAAATCCCTATATATGTGCGGTAAAATAGTATCAGTGGTAAATTCTGTCTCTGCATAGTATTATAATACATTAGTATCGATAACATGATATCTCACACCTAATCATTATTTCTATACGCGTTCTTTTAATTTTTAATTTTGTTTACGTGATGTTATTTGTGTTTTCGAACTCTGGCCTTTATTGCAAAACTTTCTGGTTATTAAACTCGCCATAGTATACACGTTGAATTACACGACATTAAACCAGAATCATATAGAATTTCCTAAATACTATATAACTGTCTGATTATATTATTATCTTTAACCTATATGTGTATTTATATTACGATGTCTTTGTGCAAAAAACAAACAAATTAATAACGAAACTATTTGTTTGCTCAGTATAAACGACTATCTGAATTTTTATGTTTATCACAATTTCGTATACGTCGACTAAAAATAATACAATATAATATTATAGTTTTATAATTAATAGCACTTATATGAATATTATGATAATTCACATATTTATAACTCGTGCACGCGTGAAATGTGTGTAAGCCAGTATTATACATTTATACCTATTATTATTATTTCATTCAATAAAATAATGACGTGATAATGGTTAAATTAATTTTGTATATTAAGTTCATATTATATCTTTGGTCTCATTGAATTAGGACTTAGATCCACTTTATATAGTTTTCAATACAAGCATATTCAATTTTGAAAATTCACACACCTGTAAATAAACCAATACACTGATACACTATAAACACCAAATTTGAAAATAACTACACTTATGCAACTTGGACCTAAAAAAGGCAAAGAAATTACATTAGAGAGATAGGTAGTATAAATAAATAATACATTTAAACTGAACATTTTATTAATTTGTAACTAAAGAATAATTAATTACATTAGTTTTAAACTAATTTTATCATATATTTGAAATTAAAACCCTTATGTAAAAATAATTATATGCTCACTATTTTTTTTTTTTTTTATCACCAAATTCAACTTATGACGAACCGTGTATCAAATACTCGATAATTATTGAGAATATAAGCAATTGTATCCACATAAAACTATAAATACTCGACATTTTGACAACTTGAACAACGCCAGAATATTTTTGTAATTGTACCATGTATAAAGTGTAAAGAGTATTAATATAAGTCTTTGCGGAAATTTCAGGTCACTATAGGATAATAGGAAATAGAAACACTTTTCACTAAAATACAAAAAAGAACAAAATTGGTTATAACAGAAACCGTTCCGTAAATATTCCCAATTATTTTCCCCGGTTTCCCATATTGTTAATAAAAGTAAATATAAAATTAAAAAAAAAGGACTAATTTAATACACTGAATTACACAAAACTGTCAACCAAAAACCACTCCTGATTCTGTATGTTCATATAATAGATATTAAAAAACCAAAATAAGACCAAAAAATTCATAATTAACCTATATAATATTAAAAGTACCTAATACCCATATGAATTTCGTACCAAAAAGCACAGCAATACTACAGTTACTTTATTGTGCAGCGTATAATAAATAATAATGATTTATTCTCACCCATTATGAAATGCGATAAGTCAGTAAAAATTGTTTTTAAAAAAGTGCCTAGTTTTTATTAGTTAGGTATATCTAACTAATGTAGGTACTTTACTACTCTAAAACCGGCCTTGATATTTAGAAGTAAATGTTTATAGGTATATAAAAAGAAGCTGTGAATATTTTGAGATATAACATTAACGTATTACGTATAGGTATACCTACAATTTTTGTAGATGTATTATTATTAAAAAAACATCGTTTTAACACATTTTTAATTTATTTCATACAATTTATCTACGAGAATTTTAAATTTAAAATATCAAAACTAATATCGTAAGTGGTAAATTCATTATCATATACAAGGTGAAAAATTATCGTAGATACAATATATTATAAGACACTATTTGGGTTGGATTTGACTTGTGTTAATTGAATTCATCACTGAGCTGGTTTGCTGTAGCGTACTGATTTTTTTTGCACAATTTGATTTAGCGGAAATGAAAAATAATACATATTTTGTCAATGCAGTTTTTAACTTTTTTTTTAACTGGAAAGAGTATTTTTCCTCCTCTTATAGCCAAGTAAACCCAGAAACCACCAATTATTGGTTTATGGCTATGTCCGTCGTCAATTTGTCCGTGCCCATAAGTTGTCCGATGGACTGGACTACATCGTATATTGACGAACGCGATTACGGTAACCAGTCAAAAGCAGAGACCACGGACTAAAGATCCCTATACATGACCTGATATGATATCTGATCTGACCAAATTATGCTGTTGGTCCGACCAGATCATGTAGTGTGTGGGGGCCTTAAGATATAATGGACATGATATAATGGAGCAGTTTATCAATAGCACCAATTTAGAATACAAGAGAATAGAGGGGGTGGTGGTTCGAAATGTAGGCTGACAGTTTACAATATCGTCTGTTGACTAAATATTTGCAACTTTTAAATAATAAAGTGATAGCAAGTACCAACTACCGATATAATAATGATTAATGATATTTAAATTAGTATTAAAACAATATTTAAACTTTTTATTTTTTTCTGTTCACAAGTTTTAATTCTATATTATTTTGACGGTAAATTATATGCAATAAATAAAATATCATTGTTTAAATTATGATGCCAAAATTAATCACCGGTAGCACTAAACAAAATTGGGCTGCAGTGTTGATGAACAGAGGAGACATTTGCGGACCGTAATCTTCATAGATAAAATATACATCGATAGAACATCTGTGTACCTACTCCACACGGTATACTATGAGCAAAGAGTCTTCTAGTTCTATAACTATAGTCGATGATTTTAGATTCTGAGTGGAACGAGGATAATGGTTTTAAAATCATGTTTTCTTTTTTTTTCTGTGAACAACTTTTCTGCTAACAATTTTGCTCCGATTTACAATGAGAGCACTTTTCTGAAAGAAAATCCGACTGGGGAGTGGAGAGGCACATTAGGGAGGTAATTTTTTGATTCTTCCAGGATTTTTCCCGGGAAAACCGGAAAAACGTAGGAAAAACGGGAAAAATAGGTAATATAGTAAAATATTACTAAAGAAAATATAATATAGTATATATGTAAATATTTTACCATAATATAACCATATTATATATTTTTGACAAAGTAACACTATCAATCGAACTTCGCTTAGAATTTATTTTTCGTTAACAATGGTTTATCGTTACTTACATTAAATTTCCCCTCTAGCTCTACTACTTTCTCAACTTCTCACCTACAACAGTGGATGTGTCCGGTTTCATTATCCTAGGACAGTTTTTTAAAATTGAATCTAGTAGATACTAAAATGTATACAAATGTAACTAATGATAAAAATAATAATACTCCAGGCTAGATTTTAAAAAGATGTAAAATGAAAAAGGACAAATATACGGCATAAGATTTGATTACTTTAAATATTTACGATTTATGTTTTCTATCAGAAATCTTGGTTCAATTCAAAAACTACAAAACACATTTTTTGTTTCATTTTGCATCTAGTTGGTGAATAAATAAGTCGTTTTTTGATTTTCCAAACGGTTTACATAATAATTGGGGAAAACCGAAAAAAGACGTAAAATAAAACCAGACGATACGGTGCGACGACGTAACAATTTCATTGTTTTACATTTTTACGGTTTACGTTTTCTATGAGAAATATCGCTCCAACCGAAAACCTAGCCTACAACAGTGGCACATCCAACAGCAGTATCAGCTCGTTTTAATTTTCACCCTCATGCAGGGTATAATTTTATATCATATGGTCCTCGTGATTTGACCCGGCGGACCAAATCCAATAAAAAATCCGCTCATATAGGTCGGGCCAGCGTCGGAAGACTCGTAGGAGGAACGGTCGTGTACTCTTCGCCCGTCATTTATCGCACCGTTGCGTCTTCGTGGTCCGAGTTGATGTATGTGGCGACCGAAATGAGAGGCTGCACGGGCGCTCTGCACGCGCGCGTGTAAACGGGTTTCTCGAAATTCCAACGCCAAACGCACACTGTAATAATAAAATGTATAAATGTACTGTTGTGTGTGCAGCGCACAAGCGAGTCGTGATGCATACTATACATATTATGAAAAAAAAAAAAACAAATCTACTATACGACGGCGACGACGTATACGCACTTCGGAATAACGATTAAAATATATCCAAAACTGTAAAAAAAAAAATCCGATCGGATGCCAAAGATAAAATTAGAACGGCGTGTATTTAAGAAAAAAAAAAAAACAAACGTGGGCATATAATATTTTATGGGCCGTGGAATTTCTTTGTTTTTTTTTTTTTCACGTCGTTTCTGCTCCTTAGTCGCCGGTCGGTCCGGCTCCGGCTCGGCGTAAACACATACGCACATACACACACACACGAGCATTTAGTGTGATCTGTTATTTTTAAACTTTCACCCCACACGCCGAGAGAGAGAGAGAGAGAGAGAGAAAGAGAGAGAGAAATGTACAAACAGAGACAGAGAGAAAACGACCGACGACACGACGGCGTGTGAGAGCCTTTTGTCCATCGGGTCTCTTTGTTGTGAGCCTGCAGAGATACTCGTGTATAGATATATTATACAGAAAGAAAGGAAAAAAAAAAAATACAACCGACGACGACTACGACGTGAACTGCTATCATTCCGAACGATCGGATTGGTCTGCCGGTCGTTTTGTGTTCAGTTCGCGCCGCAGCCGTAGTCGAGGAGTACCGAGGAGATGTAATAAAATACGCGCGCACATAATATAATACTATATAATAGTGCCCTAACCGCATTCTTTCGGGAATAAAATGAAAATATTATTAAAATACCCTTCGCCCGCCGAATCGTCGTCCGTTCTGTAATATACTATTATTATTATTAAATTGCGTCGGCGGCGGTTGTGTCAGAGACTATCAAGTCCCGCGGCTACTGCGGGAAAATACAACATTGCGGTCCACGATATAGTCATACTTATAGGGCGGTACGCTACATAGTCGCCCAAATGATAAAGAACCAGGCAAGTTTGAGGGATGCGTTGAAAAAGAAAAAAAACCAGACGCGGAAATGGGCCAGTTATTGGAAATCTCTTTATAATCTCTATACGTGTCTTGTGAACATTTTAAAAAATATATAGTTATCATTTTATCGGCATTTGAACCCCGTGATAACGCTTTTCGTGTGTTAGTTGTTCATTTGTTTATTTTCAAATGTTTTTAATATTGTGTACGAGCCGAAATTATGTCACACGAACTAAAAAAGAAAAAGCCACCCCGGCCTAACCATTTGTTTTATTGTTAAAAGTCCTTTTTATATGAGCGATTGGCCCAAAATGTCATGATTTTGGACAACGCGAGTAATGGTAATCGGTCAAAAGGTCCATGGACAAAATGTCAGTTTTGAAAAAAGTTAGACAAAAAGTCCAGACTCATTTTTTTATTGTCTAACGAAAAGACCGAGCACAGTTCTATTGTCAGACAAAAAAATCCCGAAAACAAAAAATTATTTTCTATTATTATTATCACTTTTACACACAATTTAGATAAATCTACATCTAATAAATCATTATTTTTTAACTATATTTATACCATATAAAGAAAATAAAAAAAATTGTTTTTAATGGATATTCATAAACCTACACTTTATCGTAAACTTGTTTTGAGTATTCGGTGGAAATGTTCAAATAAAATTTCGAAAAAGTGTCAGTTTATTTTAGTAACTTCCAATGGTAAGCTGAACATTGTTATTATTTTTATTATTGTAGAGTGATCAATATTTATATTGACTACTTTTCAAAAATTAACTTATTTTAAATTATTATTATTATTGTAGAATGTAAAAATGTGCTCGGAATTTTTGTCCACCGATAAAACAAATGAGTCCGCACTTTTTGTCCATGGACCTTTTGTCCTCGGACTTTTTGTTCGGGATTCGTGAGTAATAGTCACTGCCGGTCCCGATTCCCGCGATGGACTATCAACGCGGGGCTTATCCAGATAATGTTCGATTTTATTTTAAATCGCATTAGATGCATTGATTTTACAAATACTATGATGGTTTTTTTTTGTGTCTGTAGATATCTTTTTTACCAGAAATCTCGATCCAATTAAAAACTATATAGGAACATTTTCTTGCAACATTTTTAATCTAAATGAAGCGCCGAGGATGTAATTTTTTGATTTTCTTTGCAATTTTTTAATAAATGGGAATAAAACTGGCAATTTGTTGGTATAATTTTTGTTGATTTCCGGTTTACCCCCGCGACAAGCGAAAAATTACGACGAATAAAACTCTGTTCAGAATCGTTTTTCGTTAGCAACGGTTTATCGTTGCGCACAGGTATACATTGAATTTCTCTACATAATATTACATCCTCCCTTCAAGTTTTCCTCCTAAAACAGTGACATACTCATCAACGGTATCGGCCTCGCATTTATTCCCTTTTTTCTCGACGACGACGACATTTTACGGATTTCGAGAAACGTTTTCGTATCGCGATGATGACGTCACCGCGCGCGGTCGTTGTGTTTGTGTATGATAATTATTATTATTCTTTGATTTTACGATATTCTACGCGTATACTATGTACGTGACTCACCGCGAAGCTACGGAATCCACTTCGAAAACCGGTAGTCGTTTTTTATAACGCGTATATAATATAATTATTATATGAGGTTGTTTTTTTGGTCTCTCTCTCTGCCGTCCTAGGCGCTCTCCTGCTCTAACCCCGTCCGTCAACTTTTTCTTGTCCACTCGCTCTCGCTCTCTGTCTCGCTCGCTCTCTCTCTCTTTTTCTCTCTCCCTCCGTCACTCTCTTTGTCTGTCCACCCTCCCCGCCCCGCAGCGACGTCGATCTTTGTAGTCCTCTCTTTTTTTTTCGCCCTCTCTTTATTATTACGAACATACGCCGCGTCTTTCCCGCATACGTATCTTTCCCCACCATCGTCCTTTTCACTACTACTACTACTACTACTACTACTACTACTACTACTACTACTACTGCTACGCTATACTATACTCGTACTACTATTACTACTACTCGTACTACTACTATAATAATATTTACTACTACGCCGTGGTGTACACCACGAGGCGTAGTATTTGTGGCGGGCCCGCCGGAAGAGGAGGACGACCAAGACGTGAGAGGGAGGGGAGACAGACACGCATACCGGAGGAGGCGCCGCCGAGAGCTATACGCGTATACGCGCGCAAAGTGTGAGCCTGCGTGTACAGTACGACAACATACAGGATGATTATTTCATCCCGCTATGTTTTTTTGAATATGATACGAACAATTTCAGTATATTTTCATCCGTTACGATATTAACAATTAATATCAATTCGAATATTGTAATGCACTAATAACGTTTGAAACAAATCGAAATCAAACCTACTCGAAAATCGATTGTATATTTTAATTGCACCGCTATTTATTTTTGTATTTTTCTTTTCTTTTCTTTTTTTTTTCACTTTTTTACACTGTAATAAATCGATTATCAAAAATCTGATGATCATATATTATAATATTACGGGCGTATATACTTTACTTTGCTATACGTATAGCTGGTGTTTTCTTAAAAACCGTTCTACACGCCACAATAAAATATTACCGGATATGTATTGAAAGTACGAAAATAAATTTGTTCCGTTTTGTGTCTAATTCTATTGCGACCAAGATTCGCCATAACGATTGACAAAAAAAAAAAAATCAAATTTACTCGAAATATTCGTATAATATGTAATAGCTGATAATCGCTGGTCCATGATGTACCCTGTACATACAACCGTGTCCGCCAGTACAGGATAATAATATATAATGGTCTATTATACGCAGCTGAACCCTCTCTCCCCCACCACCCCCTCGCTAATACTGTATGCTATATTGCTACTACATTATTTTACTACGACTACTACTACATTATAGTTACTACTAGTATTACTACTACTACTATTACTACTATGTTCTACTATAGTACTATGTATTTATTTGTACTTGTATACTCGCTGTATAACACACATACACATACATACACACACACTTGGTCCGTGTTTGACCGACCGTATAGTTTCCGTAACGGCGACGAGTAGTAGTAATACCCAATTACCGGTAATCTAGTTGTTTTTTTCTCTCTTTCCTTATTATATTATTATTTTTTGTCCGCGACGATAGTCCCGCCAGAATACAATCGGTTGAAGATTTTTTTTTTCCGCTTCTACGCTTCACATTTTTAACACGCCCCCGGTGCGGCGCAAAACGAGTATATAATTTCAATTTGTTTTTTTTTTTTTTAATCGACGCATCATCACGGACGATCGGAAACTATTTCGGTTTGGTGCTTGCAGGCCGTTTCTGGAAATCCGTCGATCCGGACCCTTTTGAATTGCTGTGCTAACCCTTTGTCCGCGTACCCTATACTCTGCATCCACTGGGAATAGTTTACTGTCGATGATTTTGACAGATCAAAGTTTTCAAAACGTATTTTAATTTTATGGCCAGATGCTGAAAAATCCTGAAGAAATAATCGCCACCGTAGAGACCTGACATTTTTACCGAACACTGAAAAGTTGGCGTTTTTTAGACGTGATATAATTTCCAAAACTTCTCCAAAACCAACACAATAGATAGTTATTTTTATATATTTTTTTTATTTTTTATCATTCTCCCAAATCAATTGTACGTTCTATACGTTCGTTGACAGGCGCGGTCGCGTTTTAGTTTTGCAACAATACTTTTCGTTAATGCTTTTCGTATACCTATTTATATCATACAACAGCAAAACATCATGTTAATACACTAATAACCGCTAAATAATTTAATAAAATTTCGTCTATAATATGTTTCGAATTATAATTTTTTATCGCCATAACTCACTACTCATGTTATAATGTGTATAATCGAGACTTAGATAATTGATTTCAATTTAAAAAATACCGCGC